CCCCATCCACGAGAAGACTGAGCAGGGCAAGCGCACAAATCCGGGCATATAACGGGAGAGGCGAGTCCAACCGCTGACTTCTAGGAGGAAGCGCAGGGAGCGCATGCTGATTGGCCAGTTGCCGTCAGTGTCCCGGATGCCCATCTGTAGGGCGCAGTCTGCCACGAGCAGGACACGACCAGACCGTGATAAAAGTTGGTCTTTTGGTTCGGCGAGCAGGCGTGCGATAACGAAACCAGTCAGCTCTGGTGATTCACCTAAGAACGTAACAAAAAGAGGTGCTCGAGGGGGGGGGCATGAAAAAGTGCGTCAGTCTTAGGAATGTCGATAAAAGCCACTGCCGTCGCGATGCAGCCTCAGTACGCCAACTCCCAGCCCAGATCGGGACGTCGTTAGATGAATGAAAAATAGCACGGTAACAATCTATGATATTCAACACCAAGGAAACAAAAAAATCAAGGATTCTGGAGTATATGACCGGTGATAATAGGGATCAGAATACTTTCGTATAAACTGGAACACGCGCATCCCAAGAAATTTTAATTTGAAGATTCTCTTTGGGATAAAATAACTTTAATGAGTAAATTTTCGAGTTTGGCGCCCCAACTCGTCTTCGGACTAACAAGAATACTGATTTCTAGTTGTCATACGGGATAATGTCGGGGCCTTAGACTGGAGAGCGGAAGACACGAGGAATCGCTCATAGGAAATCTCTCAACTATTACCGATAGATGGACGAAAATGAGGCGTAACTTTAATTTCATTTCAAACAGCTATTAAAACTTCTGAAACATGGAAGGGGAGGCTTTAACTTCGTTTGCGACATGACTTATGGTTGAATTAATAGATAAAGCCAGCGATTCAGCGAGCTGGTTAACCCTATTATGGACGTGCCGCACAACTCGATGGTCGCCCGGTCAAACAACCCACCTCGATTGAATCTGCAAACCAGTGCTCAACATCATGAACGATAAAATGGAGGTCCGTTGAATGCTGCCTCCATCTTCGGCGTAGGAGTTTTTTGTCACTGCCTATTTCGTAGTTCACAATTAATCTCAAATCATCGCTAACAATTGCCC